ATAACAGATAAGTAGATGAATAAAATATTTACAGTATGATGTAATACAAAAGCGGGTACTAATTACAAGGTGACACCAAACATCAAAGGTGTGAACTAAAACGCTAGAAAAGTGTTATAATGCTGTAATTGTTAAGTTCAGGTTTGATCTTATTCATATAAAAAGCTTCTTTGAGTTTTAAATCAATTGCGTTTTTAGCAGAATCCACGCTACTAAAGCAAGAAAGGGAGTATTTGTTCTTACAAGACGGAGATGTGTTGAAATACTTAGAAATATGCGTGTTTTTTGGTGTCACGTTATAATTAGTACCCGCTTTTGTATTACATCATATTGTGAATATTTTATTCATCTACTTATCTGTTATATAATTACTCACGTTCTGTTACTCATTGATTGAAGATGGCATAAGCATGCCGAAACATGTCTCTCAAAAAAGTTGTCTATTTCTTACAATATTAATCATTGATGATAATAATTCATACAAACATTTGATTCTTTGATTTAATAGCTTGCAGTGCAGGCGTCTTATTAGGGCGAGTTGACGTTAAGAAGCCCGCAATCATTTATTTGACCGGCCACTCCCCCACCCCAGCCCCTCTCCTTACTTTTGACTGTCACTCACTCCCTCAGCAGAAATTTCTTTTTCTCCCCAGCCTTCCGCTGCCATTGTAATCAAAGATGGCGGCCATGTTTTGCTAAGAAAATGCTGAGCACTCGGTCGTCCAATTTACGCCTGCTCTGCTAGCTATTGATTTAAAAACTGTACATTATTCAAAGTTTTAATTAAGAGAAGAAGGCTTACACTCACTTGCCTGAGGTAAAATTATGATAATTGCGTGTACCAACAAACTTGGAAAGAACGTCATTAACCTCTGCAATTTTCTCTTCTGTTTAAAAAGAAGGCAGTAAAGAGAGTAAAGATATCTTAACATTGACAAACATGCTATAACTTCACGCCAGACTTCCAAAGAAGTACTTGGTTACATTTAGTTTGAATTCAAATTAGAAGTAGCTGTTGGTTGTGACTACAAAGCTGGTGTATGAAACAGCTGCTCAACCTTTGACACATCCTAAATACATACCAGTCACTCTGTACTTTGTGGTACTTTGCTGAAAATGGAAAGTGAGATATGGAGGTGTCAACAGACAAAAATCAAGCATGTGTAACACTGACTGACAGACTGAGAGACTGATTGGCTGAGTGACTGACTAACTGATGGACTAAATCCCAGACTAATTTGGTAATATCAACTAGTACGTTGAAATTGTAAATTGGCCACTGTAAAGAGTTAAAAAGCTGACGTTTCGAGCGTTAGCCCTTCGTTAGAGCGAATGATGAAGGGCTAACACTCGAAACGTCAGCTTTTTAACTCTTTACAGTGGCCAATTTAAAATTTCAACTTACTGGTAGTTGATATCACTTACCCCCTTTACTCACTTGACTGACTGACTGTCTGTCTGACTGAGAGAGTACCTCACTGACTAACCAACTAAGAGACTGACTGACAGATTGACTCACTGTCTGACTGAGAGAGAGAGTACCTGACTGACTAACGTTG